GAAATAGATTCACAGAGTAAGATCCTCTCCCAGAAATAACCTATAACAATACAGAATACAACACAAATACGTAACCGCTACTTATTCGTTAAGGTCCTTGAGCGGTGGGCGAGCGGTGGGCGAGCGGTGGGCCACACAAGCTAGTCTAATGGGTTCTCACTTGAAGGTACAGGTCAACCTCCAAGCACACCCTACCTCAATTGCGCACTCCCTCCAAAATAGGAGGAGATTTATCACTACAGAATATATCCGTTCACACAAGAATCAATCAATCCTTAAGGGCTGACAAACCTCCAAGGTATCGCACGAATATGAAATGGAGACCTCAAAGAGTGTACGCCAACTGGGATATGAAAATAGTACGGTTCACTCCCAGCGCACGTTGCTGAGTCCCCTCCTAACTTGAGCTCGAACTAGACGGGAACCCCTGCGCCGCGTTGTCGTCGCTTCGACACGTCTGGATGTCGGCTTCCGAGTCTCCAGGCCTCCGGCAGTATTACTCTTCGTCACGGCAGGCTTGGCCGGAAGCTCCTCTTCGGCCCCAGGCGATTTCTTCCTTAGTAGGCGTAGCACATTTCTTGGTACTTGAGCCTTTTGGAAAAAAAAAACGGTTTCTGTTATATTGGCTACCACTTTACGGATTTGATGATCACACCCCTGATTTATCTTGACTTGAATATGGTGTGGGTTCAGTAGTCGTCGGTCACGGCGTAGACGCATCATTGATGACATGGACATACCGTTAAAGTCGGCCCCAGTACGACACCGTTTAGCAGTAAAAAAAAAAACCAAGTTTTTGAAAAATCCTCGTAAGGTTTTTAAATGACCCGTTTGAGCGACCTCCATCCTCATAACCAGTGGTGCGACATTGTGCAAAGTTACCGCCTTTCACCTCATATCACACAAGCACACAATAAACCGCCACCTTAGAAACAAGAACAAGGCCAAGCTGAAGGTATATAAACGCGTATCACATACCCCTTACTTAATTCTAAGTCTCGTTTAAAAGTGATAATAGGGAGTCGAAGCCACAAAAACAAAACTATGTAGCCACTGTCGTGATACAGATGATCGTGCATCGCTCGTCTGTATACCGTTGAAAAAGCAAAATACGAAACTAGAAGGTGATAAGAAGAATGGAAGCAAGTTCTACGTAAATCCAAAGGCACATGAGGCACAGCGAGCGCGCTATCCTGATTTAGAAAAGAGTTTTTATAACTTTCTAGTTCTTTTTTTTCTAATCTATTAGATACAATGATAGACTTCTTGAATATGTTTCAGAAATGAGGGGGGGGCAAGCTTTGTGTACTTACGAAGTGCTTAATCTTAATGATGGAAAAGTTCGACCCAGCTTTCACTCGGTCTTGGAACTATGTTGCCCTTCGATCGTGGACTGCACGATTTCTTAAGAGGAATCGGTTTGTCTTAAGAGGAATCGGTTTGTCGTTCGGCGCGATATGCACAAGGTATCAAGAACACGAAACAATATGCAGGATGGTACTTCTAGTTAGTGTTTTTTATTTTATTTTTGTTCTAACTTTTTCTTAGAATGTTGCGGGTTCGTTGGCGAATTCTGTGAACTTTGCAGTAGAAATGGACGGGATCTTGGCTTTTCACAACAGTTATGAGAATAATCTGGTGGAGTGGGGTTCGCAAAACCACGTTGCGATCCACTCGGACACACAGTGCCCTGGACCGCCGACTGACGGAGGGGG